CTGGAGCCCCCCTGACACGTCATGGCCCCCACTTCCCGGCAAGTTTCCTCGCTGCACTGAGCGGGACCAAACGGCGAAAGGCAAAATGCGTTCGCTTCTTCGCTCCAGCACTCGCGGGCCGATGCGCGGCCCTCGTCGCCTCGCGAGGGCGCCTCTCAGCACGGCTCCACGGGGCCCCGCGCGGCGCGCGCGCAACAGGGCCCCTGGGCGCCCCGATGGCAAATCCAATGACAAGAACCAGCGAAACGCGCAGATCAGAATCGACAGCTCAGGCCACTCACACCCCGCCAAGAAAGTCAAACGCGATGACGTTCGTCGGCGAACAATGCGCCAGGCGACGGACGCAGGCGCTCGGCCATGGCTCAGGGGGTGCCCAGCCCCGACCGGCCGAGCGCCAGTGCCAACGTCGCCCTAGCTGCAGCCCAGCAGGGCGCGCGCCCGGGCGCCTCCCCCGCGCGCGCCGCGCGCGACTGGGGAGATGCGTCGAGACGCGAAAGCGCGACCCCGACGCCGAACGCTTGCGCTGCGAGGAAGGTAGAAGCACGAACGGCAGCACTTCCAATTAACCATTCATCGCTGTGGCCCAGAACGCGGCCCGTGAGGCGCAGCCAGTTTGTTTTCTGCGGCCCCCGCGAAGCTAGCTCTCGCGATCCCGCCTAGAGGTCTTTCCACCGGAGAATCGAAACCACTTTGAAGAGTCGTCGGCCGGCGGCCGCCGCGGCGCCCCTGCCAAGCAGCCGCGAGGCGACGAGCTCCAGGACCCCGTATTGGCTGGTCTCGAGAGCCAGCTACACGAGGACAGATAGGAGTAGGCGTGGAGCGAGGATGGCACATAGGATTTTCGAATCTCCCAGCCCGGCGGCCATTGGACGCGCGCGTCGACGGGGAGGGTCAACAACCGGGCCCTGGGAGATGCTCGCGGGGGATAAGCAAGAAGCGGGGTCGATGGATTCTCGTGCGCCAGCGCGTATAACATCTCCCCGCGGCACTCGCATCAAGTGCGCAATCGTCGTGCATTTATGTCGGGCGAATCGCGCACTGCTGCCGCGCAATCGCGCACGAATCGCGCGCGAATGGTGCGCTATTCGCGCTCTAATCGCACGCCAATCGCGCGTGAATCACGCGCCTGTCCCGCACCAAACGCGCACTAATCGCGCACGAATGGCACACTAATCGCGCATTATTCGCGCGCGAATCGCGCGCCGAGCGGAGGCCTGGCGGGAGCGGGGGCCCGCGATGAGAGCTAATAGTGTCGTAAGTGTGAACTGGCATTGGTAGAAATATAAGTATGCCGCGTGGCACCAATGAAGCAAAACCAAGCTCACACCATCGCACTCAGCAAAACAAGCTCTAAAGCAAAACCAATGGTACATTGGCATCGCAGAGCACGCAGAGCACCAATGGTACATTGGCATCCGACACGCAAGCAGCCTGTGGAATCGTTAGGCTGCATCAGGCCTCTTTGTGTCTGGTGTTCAGCGATCGTTTGTCCCTTTCCTGGTCCTTTCCTCCCGGCTGGGTTGGTGCACGCCCACTGGGCGCTCGAGCCTCCCATGCCCTCCTCCAGTCGGGTGTGGTCTACACGCCTGGGTCAGGGGCATCTCGCCCGCAGGCTCTTCTCTAGGACCTATGATACGCATCGTGCGTTTCGTGTTGTGCACTTCGACAGGCAGACAATGAGCCTCGTATAGAAGAAAAAACGCCATGAACATGAACTATTGGCGCTCCGCGCGGATTTCTTGCATCTGCGCTGGAATCCCCTCCCTGACGCCCGGGGGCCTCAGCGAGGATTCAACAAATCCGCGAGGAGCGCCAAAAGTGAATGTTTTAGCGTTGTTTCTTCCTCGATCATATGGACCAGGGATCAATGATCTCCCTCCCGCTCATCTTACCTTGCCTCCCCCTCCTCCTCCTACCTACTCCTACTCCCGGAGGGGAGGGGTTGGGGGAATGCGCGGCGCCAGGACGAAGGTCCTCTTGACTTCTACGATCCCGCGGCCGAGGAAGTCCTGTCGGTTCAGGGGGGAAGTGGGAGGAGTACGAGGGAGGGGGAGGAGGAGGAGGAGGAGGAGGAGGAGGAGGAGGAGGAGGAGGAGGAGGAGGAGGAGGAGGAGGAGGAGGAGCAGGACGAGGAGGAGGCGGAGCAGGACGAGGAGGAGGAGGAGGGAGGAGGAGGAGGAAGAGGAGGAGGGAGAAGGGGTCTGCCACCAGAAGGCTCCGGGGGTCGCGACGGGGGAGCAGGGCCAGAGGAGGCGATCAGGGAAAAATCACGATGTGTACAGCCCCCCGGACGACAGTAGAATCGACTACCAGATCGGGCGCACCCGCGGCGCGGCGCGGCGAGGTCGTCGTCGTCGTCCTCCTCCTCCTCCCCACCTTGGGCTGCACCCGCTTGGATGTGCAAGTGGCGTGCTGGCGCTCATGCCAGGGTGCTCCACGGCCAATTTGCCCGGCTGCGGCGGCGCGACTGCCAAGTGATGGCGGCAAGGAGCTCGCTCGAGGAGCACGACTGCCGTCGCAAAAATAGCGCGCAACACCGACCTTGAACTCTGTTGCCGTTACCTACGAGGGGGCCCTGGGACACACAAATGAGTAGACACAAATAACAGGATTCCTCATATTTCCAATCTTTTCTTGGCTTTTGTCTTCCCCCCCACTTCCCATATGTTCCCATGTTTTCTCGGGGAATCGACGACTAACTGTGTCGGTGTATTTCTTCCCCTCCTGAACCTTAGGGCTTTTGTCTTCCCCCCCACCTCCCACCTTTTCCCATGTTTTCCAGAAAATCGACGATGAACTGTGTCCGTGCATTTTTGTCCCCCTTCTGAACCCAAAGGGGTTGGTCGGTTGGTGGGGGGCGGGGGTTCGGGCGGGAGGGTAACCAAGGGCTCCCAAGTTCGCGCTTCGCGCTGCGCGCAGCGCGAAGTGCGAATAACTTCGCGGTCTCACGCCGCCTCCCAAGGGAGAAGAGGAGGAGGATGAGGAATCGGAGCCGAACCGCGAAGCGCGAAGCGCGAATAACTTCGCGCCCTCGAGGGCGCCCTGGGCAGCGGTCCCGGCGGCCGCGGCGTGCTCCCGCCAGGGTGCGCCCGCGCCAGCGACGCGCACCATCGCATCCAAGCGGGAGGCGGGGGTCCAGGCCCCCCCCCCATCACGATGGTCGGCGTTACCGTTCTTCGAGGCTCCTGCGGTTGACGTGTTCGTGGAGCCAGAAGAGAGAGGAGGGGGAGCAGCAGAGGAGGAGGAGAGAAGAGATTCGCTTGGGGTGAAAGCTTCAGGTCTACGGTTTTTGTACGATTCCAAGAAATTCGAAAAAATGGGGAGCGGTTCTGGCCCGCGTAACGGCCGTTACCCCGGGGAGCAAATGAAAAACGCTCAGGTCACCGAGAAGCACGCCATCCCCCGAAAATGAGCTTCCTCCGTGAACGCTGTCGCTGTGGGTGGGCGATCCCCCCTGCGAGGGATCCCTCTGCGCGCGCTATCCCCACCCCAGGGATTCTCGGGCGTTGGAAAAACTGGGTTTAGTGGGACCAGGTTTAATGATGCGTACTAGGAAACGCCCCCCCCGCCCCGTTCCACTAACCGGAACTGCCGTCACCCGAAAAAACACTAGCTACGGCAGACCTGGTTTAGTGACTCTGGCCAATTTAGGGGCTCCGGGGCCCTACCACTAACCGGGTCCCCTTACCTGGGGTCCTGGCTGTACCCGAGATTCCTCCGTGGACGCCACCCCCAGAGCGGGGGATAGCGTGTCATCCCAACGGCCCTGTGGGCGGAGGTGGTTTGGAGGGTTTCCTCTTCCATCTTCCCCTGCTAACCCTCTGGGGAAAGATTGTCACTGGTCCCAGCAACAAACCCAGGACCATGCCAACACCACCTCGCCATCCCCGAAAAAGACAATGAGACGAGAGGATCTCGGCACCAAAATCTGGATCATGCGCGGAAGCCCCGCGATCTCTTTGCATTGGTTGGGGCAAGCACGGCGGGGGGGGCTGGCATGTTTCCTGCTGTTTGCAATGCCAACACCCCACCCAACAATACGACTTGCATTTTGCATCCACATTCTGGATCATGCACGGACGCCCCGCGATCACTTTGCATTGGTTTTTGACAAGACCGACGGGGGGGTCGACATGTTGCCTGCCATGTGCAGGCCCACCAGACGTGTCAACAAAATGCTCAAGGTCACTTTGCCAGGGACGGTGGGGGGATGCCTAGTGCCTGCTGTGCGAAGGTCTACTGTCCCTGTTAAAAAAACAAGTGCAAAGCGATTGCGGGTGCACGCCCACACAAAGTAGAATGCTCGCGTGTCCGCCATCACGTCGCATTGGTTTTTGGAAGGGATGGTGAGGCGGTTGACCTATCGCCCACTGAGGCACACCTGGTACGCGTGGCGCACCTGGCACGTGCGGCGCACCTCGCGGGCATCGCTCACCTGGCTTGCGTCTGCATTGGTCCCCTATGGTTGTCGATGGCGGCCCCTGCCTGTGCTGAGACTAGAGTGCTAATAATGTCGTGGGATGGTGAACGGAAGTGAACAACACGGCTTGCGGCTTGGGGTAGCTAGGTCACTGCTCCCTATTAATGAACATCACCTGCCCAACACGACCAGCAGCCAACCCGAACCCATGCGCACACCCCCGTTCTTCATCTGCGTCCTCAAAAAAAACAAAACCTAATTTACTTTGCCCCCGAATCGGGGGTATGCGCAGGCGCCCCGCGAACACTTTGCTAACCAATGGCATCGGCGGCCCCAAGCCCCCCTTTCAGCAACTTGGAACTCATTTGAACCGCACCCTCGCATGGAACACTCTCGCAAGGGCCCTGCGCAGACAGCGCATTCACTCCTGGCTGCGAACGAGCGCGGAGCTTGCAATTACCTCCAAGCGTTTCAATCACCGATTACGTGGTTGCCCCCTTCCTCCGTTGAGCCATATGCCATTGTGGCCGCGCGCACTACTGCGGCGACGAGGTCCCCGGATCCCACGGGGGCGTCTTGCTGAAGAACAAATATTTCCCAATCAGAGCTTGCCTCTGTAGGGGTCCTAGCGGATTCATATGGTTAGATTAGGTTTGCCGCCGATTTTCGCCGCACGCCCTGGTGCCCGGGTGCCCGGGTGCCCGGGTGCCCGGGCGTGCCCGGGGGTGCCCGGGTGCCCGGGGGTGCCCTATGGCCCTATAGCCTTGTAGCCCTATAGCCCACTAGCCCAATAGCCCATATAGCCCATATAGCCCTGTAGCCCTATATCCCTATGGCCCAATAGTCCTATAGCCCTACAGCCCTATAGCCCTACAGCCCTAACAAAAATATGATTGGGTGTTTCTCTGGTAGCATTGATCCAGCACGAAACAAAGTAAATAGAAAACACAAAGGTTCTTTTTAGTTCATCACGTGTACACTTCTTACAACTGCAAATGTGTATTGAATACCCGTCTCCAAAAGATGACTGTTCATCCACAAGAACATGTGTAACCATTGGCATCGGAGGCCCCGCCCCCTTTCAAAGCAATGTGGATTAAATTTGGGACATATGTCTCGAACCGCACCCTCGCATGGAACACGCCTGCAATGGCCCCGCGCAGACCGTGCACTCACTCGGGCCAACGCGTGTGGAGCTTGCAATTATCTCCACACTGTTCGATCACCGATTATGCAGTTGCCCCCTCCCCAAAGGGAGCTCACTGCCATTGTGGCCGTGCGCACTACCGCGGCGACGAGGTCCCCAGACCCCACGGGGGCGTCTAGTTGACTGCGCAATATTCTCAAGAAGAACGAATACATACATACATAGATGTGCACACATACATACATACATACATACATACATACATACATACATACATGCATGCATGCATGCATACATACGTACATACATACATACATACATACTAGAGACACGCGCGCTTCGCGCGCTTAGGGTTCTAGCAAGCTCTGGTTCTAGTATAAGTATGTTCGGCATCGGAGGACACCTATTGTCACACAGATCGTGCCCCTCAGGGAACTCCACCGTCGGCCGCAGAGACAAGTTTGGCTTGGCGCTCCCCCTTCCCATGTCGGCACACCCCTGACAGGGATCGCGCCTGAAGAGGTCCACGTACGTCCCCAGAGACAAGCTTCGCGTACGGCCCTCACGCGGATCGTGCCCCGCAAGTAGCTGCGTTCGCGGCGCCAGAAAGAACCTTCATAGCGTCTACCCGCTCACTTCCGCACACCTCTCACACAGATCGTGGCCCGCAAGGAAGTCCACGGACGGCCCCAGAGACAAGTTTTGCACTTCGCACCCCCGCCTCTCACAAGGATCGTGGCCCATAAGGATCTCCACCTACGGCCCCACAGGCGAGGTTCGCACTGCGCCTCCCCTGGCCATTGCGGCGCACCCCATCGCGCGGAGCGTGCCCGCAAGGAACATCACCTACAGGCCCAGCGACAAGGTTCGCACAACGCCACCCGCGAATCATGCCCCAGAGGGAACTCCACCCTGTGCCAACCGCGGAACGCCGAGCGAGCTCGGGGCGCCTGCCGCGGGCACCTAAGACGGGCAAAGAGCACTGCCTGTCCGCAATCGGCTCGAGCTCAGCCTCGTTCGCCCACGGGCGGCAGAACGTGTTAAGGTTAGGTCGGCCCCCCGACAGGTGGATTTTGGACGAAAAACGACAAATACTCAAACCAAAAAAAAAACACAAATTACGCCCCATAATAGTTTAACCAAAAATGTCCCCAGATTATTTGTTGACTATCTTTGAACACTCCCCCTGTAGAGGGACAAGCCCGACTTAAGGGTAAAGAGCACTGCCTGTCCGCAACCGGCTCGAGCTCAGCCTTCTTCGCCCGCGGGCGGCACAACGTGTTGGGGCGCCTCTGCGAGCACCGTCCGGGGGCCCTCCGACGCGCCAACCCCGGCCCGCGGGCAGCGCCATCCAGCGCCCCGCTCCAGTCCTGGGAGGCAGGGGAGGGACCAACGGTGGGCTCGACTGGGATCTTACACGGACTCGCGAACCCCAGGGCCTGCAGGTCGGCCAACTGCGGGGAGAAAAGCACATCTGGACCGGCTTGCGCGGCCTGGGCGCCGCCTCGAAGCACCGCCTGGTACAACTGACCGCCTGCGAAAACTCGCTGGACACAATGAAGTAATAAAGTTCACGAACGCCTTCCTCGCTGGCGCCAGCGCACGCGCCGCTGGATTTAGGCACCGCGAGGTTGGCGGACCAAACCGAAACCAGGTCACGCGCAGCCAGCTCCGCTGGCTCCTGGAAATCGGCCCCCAGGTGAGTGGACAGCGCAGTTCCGATGTTGCACAATACACCCAGGTCGAACTCCGAGGAGCCCTCGGAGCCCTTCAAACATGTAGAGACCACCATCAAAGAGACTCTGAACAACCGTACACACAGCGCAGTGGGACCAACATGGGCCCCTCGGTGTCGGACACGTCGTGGCAGCCCAAGAAGTCCCTGACGGAAGTGCCGACACCCCCAGACGTGCCCTGGCCGCTCCCAGACGCCGATGGTATGATCCTGGAGTTCCACCCAGAACGGAGGCCCCACTGAGAGGCCTCCCCCACCCGATCGCCCACCACGTGCGACTCTTGAGCAAGTGCAACATGAGCCGTGGATCGGCTCAGCCAAGCCTTGCCCGCGCTCCACCCAGCGCAGTTAGCCGTCTCAACTACCAGCCCATCGTCGGAAACCGAACAAGCTGGGGCCCAGAGACAACTGCAAAAATCCAGGGCTGGTTCCTTGGGGGCGGGAATGCGGCAAAGCCGAGCTATAGCAGGCGAGCTGACAAGAAAACGGACCCCCGAAGCCACGCCGCCCGTGGGCTCAGGCCTCGGGGGGGCTGCTTTAGAAGACTCTCGCATGGGCGACTCAGAAGGCCAGTGCTTGAGAACCTCCCTGGCGCGCATGCGGATGTCCTCTGGCTGGGGCGCACCCTCCTGCGAAGCAGACGAAAAGGAGACTGCGCTCTGCTCTTCGGCGGACGCGCTGGGGAAAGGTGCGCCAACCGCCGCAGCTGCCACACTGCCCTGGGAACCCTTGGCTGACTTCTCAGGTGGCTCCCCCTCGGACTCGCCATTGTTCTTTTTGTGCTGGCGACCAATGTGCTCCAGATGGGACGCCTCGAGCTCGTCAGCTGACTCCTGGACCTGGGCGAACAGCTGCTTGGTGATGGCCGCGACGCTGGACTCGTCGGGTGAGAGCATAGTCACGGCTGACCAAGGCCAGGAAACCTTCCCCGTAGTCGATAGTGATGGCGCATTCCTTGCCATCGAGGATGTCACGCAGGCACAACTTCCAACGTGCGGGCACACGAGCAGGCAGAGCAACCACATCACGATGCAGACGATCCACCAGCAACTTGTGTTCACTGTCCGCCTCCGCGAGCTCGGCGCTGAGCTTCTCCGTGGCGGCCTCGCACTCCTCGAGCCACTTCCTGGCGCGGGCCACGTCGTCCGCAGGCGACGCTCCAGGATCTTGACTCGCTGACCTGTTTCTTCGGCATGCTTCTCCAGGGGCCTGGGAAGTGGTGGTTTCGCCTTCTTGGCAGCCTGCCATGTGTTGTACTGAGCTGCCGAGGTCTTGTCGCCGAACTTTTCTGCAAGTTTGAGGAGCTGCTGGATGTCCTCCTCTGTGGCAAAAGGGGGGGGTCGCGACCGCAGCGGGAGCTGCGGCCGGACGTGGACCACGTTGCCATTCTCCCCGCGGCAGTGCATGAGCGCTCGGCTGGACATCGACCTTCTGCCTTTTTGCAACGCTTGCAGAAACACCACCTTGATACAGTATTAGCACACACCCAAAATATTGGTGGCTACACTTCGACATGCGAAGAGCCCGCACATCCCCTCCGTCGTCGGCAGCGAAGCGGACGCGGCGACGGTCCACTGCCACGGCAGGGGCTTGGGCGGTGCAACCATGGCGGCAGAAGCGAACTCGTGATCTGCGGCGAAACCAAACCAACTGGCCCGCTGTCACCCAGCCGTTCTGAAGCGTCAGTGACAGCAAGCACAAAACTTGTGCTAGAACGGCTAGGAGGAGAAGGAGGAGGCGGAGGAGGGGGAGGAGGAGGAAGAGGAGGAGGAGGCGCGGCACGAGGGGGGCGGGGGCGGAGGAAGTCGAGAAGGCGGAGACATCCGAAGCTGATGGGGATGCCCCCGAATACCCACGGGGACGCTCGCAACAAGAGCGGGCGCCTCAAAGAGCGTGGAGGGGGAGGAGGAGGAGGAGGAGGAGGAGGAGGAGGAGCAAGAGCAAGAGCAAGAGCAAGAGCAAGAGCAATGAGGACGAGGACGAGCGGGGAGACAGGAGGGAGGAGGCACGGCGGAGGGAGGGAGGACAGGGCAACGCGCCATCGAAGCATCCTGGAGCCGGCCCGGTGTCGCCACCATGACGTCGCAGCCCTTGGCGATCTCCTCCATCTGCACCTCAGCCGGGCGGGGGGGGGGCACAGACAGGGGAGCAGCACAGACCGCTGGGAGGAGGCAGGCGGACGCGTGAAGGTAAGCGTTTTCTGATTCGGCTATTCGACATTGGGCGGAAAGGAGGGGGGGGGTCTGGCTCTGGACCTCTGCTTAGGGCGGTTGTTTGCAACAGTGCGTCCCATAGGGGAGAGACCCAACCTTCGCGACACAGGCGCCAAAAACAGCCAAGATCTACTCCAGGATCGGGGGAGGGGGATGCGAGGACCCGCGCCGATGGGCAAAACAACGAATACGAGAAGGATCAGCAGAGAAGGCGGTGTTCGAACCGACCCCGAAAACCGAAAGCTGACAGTCGAGAAGCTGGAAGAGAAGGAACCCGAAGCGAGGGGACGGGGCCCCGGCTGCTCCACGAGGACCACCTGAGACAACCGGAAGGAATGAGAAGGCGCTGCGTCCCTCCCCCACGAGAGAAGTTCCTTCTTCCGCGGCCCGAGTGCAGGCGGGCGCACGAAGCAGAAAAAAAAAGCGGCGGTCGAACCGACTCCGAAAACTGAAAACCGAAAGAAGCCCCGTCGGCTGCCGAATCC